TTCCTGACGTAAATGCCTTTTAGTGGGAGAAGTTTCTTGAGTTAGCAAGAAACAGATGTATGGCAATCACCAGGATCTGTCTTTTCACTTTGAAACTCTGTGAAGTGGGAAAGCAAATTTTACACAGCATGATGTAAAGCTTAGGATATTGGATTTGGTCTAGGACAGGCATGTCAAACTTGCGACATCACGTGACGTCGTGTGACGTGTCGCGACTTTTTCTCCATTGCCGGCAATTGGGTGGGCGTGGTTTCAGTATGATGCATCCGGCCCGCGGGTTGGCAGTTTGACATGCCTGGTCTAGGATGATCTGGCTTTGATATTCAGATGGCTGGTTTTGCATAACATGCTGAAACTGAATTTAAGGTAGGGGAAGATAAGTCTTGTGTTCACACAACATGGTTGTAAATGGAAATTCTAGCACTCACAGTTGCTGTCATTAAGCAAATCACTCAGGTCATTAAGCAAAGAGGTCCTGTGGTCGCCATTTGTGACCTCCTCCTAGCTTCCTCACTGACTGCTTGTAAGAAACTGGCAAAAAAGGTTGCAAATGACGATTATGTGACTGTGAGGACTCTGCCACCAATATGAGGACTCCTCAGAGCCACCACTGATTTAGCACCATTGTATGTTTGAATAGAGCTGACAAGTAGTCATTAAGTAAGGCCCATCTGTTGGGCTATTCCATATATTTGCTGCTATGAATTTCTTCAAAGGAAAACAAAGTAAAATGTGTAATATTTCAGTATATATGAGATTTGGAAAAGTCATTGAGCAAAAAGGACTGAACTGGTATAATGAAGTCTCCCCTGAATCCCCTCCATGCTATCTGTTCATTTCTTCTATATGCAGCCTCTCTCTTTTTTTCACTAGCTAAGAAAAAGAAGAGAAAAAAGAAAGGAATGGAAAAGGGTTGCTGTTTTCTCATGGGAATTGTTTGTAAGGAAGAGGGAGGGGAGTGACTGTTTCACAGACATGTAATGGAAACATAGCAAAAGCTCAGGCTTGGCAAAAAAAACTACAGAGTACCACAAATCCACAGAGCCCTGTGTATAGGCTTGTTTAACAACTGCTCTTTCTTTCTTCATCTAGTAGTGCAATTTCTTTTTCCTCTTTTACAAAATTACAAATATGCCAAGCTCTTCCTATGGAAACCCAAAATGGGGCTCTAATGATGATCTAAAAAGCCCAAACTTAATATTTATTGCAAATTAGATTGTGAGATGGCACCAACTGGCAGAGAGTCAAACAATCCATAAATGTATTTTTAGTAGAAAAGCCACATGGAATCGTTCCATCAATCTGTGATGTGTTATTTGTGACAATTGTATTTGAAGTCTTACTAAAAATTCCTACTTCTTTTAACTTACCGATTAGTCTGTTTTATCTGTGGTTTCTATTATCTTTCTGTAGCTATGTTATCTTAAATGATTTCTTTCTCTCACTAGATCTACCAGAAGGTCCCAAGTACAGACCCTTCCTCTGCCAAAACTCAACAGATTGTCAACACTGTCCAGTCCATGAGCTTACCCAGTGGTACTCTGGTCTCCCAGACCCATTATTCACCCCTCTATTTTTCCTGCATTATGATTTTGGCTGCATTGAGCTGGCAGTATCTGAACACTGTCTCAAAAGCAACAGAGGAATATGTGCACACTGGTGAGAACTGAGGGTGGAGCTCTCTTGTGCTGCATTTGGAAGGGGAATATTTTGAAATGGGAGAACTTTTTGGAGTCCCAGGAATGTAAGGAACAAGACTGTGAATGTTTCATTGCAAGCTGATTGAACTGGAAGCCTTCATTTGAAAGCATCTGCTGCTGGTTTTGAAGCCTCTAACAAAGAGTTTCCCATGGAGAACATTTGCTTTTTTTCCAGCTAAACTAGCTACAGCCAATTTTGTTTGAGTCTTACTTAATATTTTCTTTTCTGCAGTTTGATCTGCATTTGTTTTTGATGTAGGATGTTTTTTAACTCTGATGTTTCGAAGTCTTTGTGAATTTTGACAGTAAAAATGTGGTGATAAAACCACTCCTCTATCTCCTGCTGTAATTCAAGCACTGCATTTTCTGTTCAAAAAATTTCCAAAGCCTGTACTGTCTTAAGTTGCACTAATTTAGGAATTTCTCCTTACATTAACTTTGGAGATAGATATTTGTCTTATTACATGGTTGTCATTTTTTCTTTCCATAAATGCTATTGTGCCTCTTGGAAAGGCTTCTATATTGTAATATGCAAGGGATTTTGGGAGCCAATAGAGGAAAGTTGTATAAATCTTTGAGATAGGACAAAACTGTGGCATCATCTACAGTAAAGCTGCCCACTCCTGAAGCAAAGATTGGCACTGAGAATCAGTATACTTTTAACATCTTTTGTAGCCTTGGAGAAGTTCAAGTTCTAGTCTGGGATAACATGCAAAGTAGGACTGTGAGAATTTTAGAAGATGCAGGCCAGAGATCCTCCCAATATCTTCACATCTTCACATAGCTGTTTCCTTTTGCAGATTCATCCCAGGTATCTGCCCAAGCGCGTGGCCTACAATTTTGTTTGCTAGTTCTCCCAGTAATCTGTTGTCTCCATGCAAACACTAAAGCACTGTCCCAAAGAAGCCCAAGTAGGGTGCTTTACAAAGCATCTATTCAAATGCTTTAGAATGAGATTCATAAAGTTAAATCTCAAAAATGAAGAAATCAATCTAGAAAAGTATATGTCTGTGGCAGTAATAGTTATGCAGACTGATGTGGAGCTTTTACATGTTCTGATAATAGACTCCAAGTTGAGCTCTACTCCTGGTGTCACTGGAATGTATGCATTTGCTTTCTTGGCAACAAACTCAATTTGGTTTACTATTGCCTTCTAGAATGGTTGACTTCCTAATCTAAAGCCCCAGTATTTCCAGGTGGTCTGACTTAATAGCCAGCCAAGATCAACCCTACTTAGCATTTTGAAGATCACCCATCTGCTGTGGAATTAGCATGGAGTTCTTGTTTTCTCTGCAACCTGAGGCCCTGATTATATGAAGGGGGATCACTTGAGAATTTTCTTGACTTATAAATGCAGGTTAGAGGGACCATTGTAATGACCTTCAGCAATTGATATTTAAAGCCATTTCTTGGATATAGTGAATAACCTTCAGAACAGATTCTGGAGGCTTTGTTCTATGCAACTTGACAAGAGGCTAAACAGGTCCCCAACCTATGGGCTATGGCCCACTACAGGGCCGTGGCCTCTTGACCGCCAGGCTGCGTGAATAGCTGGGTGCATGTGTGTGCACTCAACCCCCCCCCCCGTGCCACTGTTGCCGCGAGTGTTGTGCAGGCTATAGCAGTGCTGCTAGTATCGTGTGGGCGGCGGTGTTGCCACAAACCTTGCATGGGGGTGCAGCGCTGCGAGTGGCAGGTGGGTGGTGGTGTGCCACATGCAGGTGGTGGTATTGCCACGAACTTCGTGTGAGCAACGGCAGCGCTGCAAGCGGCAGGTTGACCAGTTGGCAGGGGTGGTGGCACGAGCCTTGTGTCGGGGTGGGATCGCTGCGGGCGCGGCATGATCCTTGTGCGGGGGTGGCGGCGTGAACCTCGCTGGGGTGGCATTGTTGCAGGCCGAGGTGTGAACCTCACACTGGTGGTAGCATTGCCACAAGCCTGGCAGCGGCGGTGCCATATGCCTCACACAGGTTCCGCTGTCACAGAGCCTCACGCGCATGCTCGCAGCCCCATTTGCATGGTGCACCTGTTTGTGTGCGCACACGTGGCCACATTCACGTTTGCGCATGCTGCCTAAAGCTCCTGCCCCTCCCTCTCCCATCAAGCCGCCAATCCAAAAAGGTTGGTGACCCCTGGGCTAAAAAGTAAACAAGCTGGACCGGATTTTTGCAAATAATTCTGAGCTAGATAACTCTTGATATGCTTTCCACAAAGACATCACAGTTTAAGTCTGTATATACTGAACATCTTAACAGTGTATATTTCAGTCTATTTTGCACCCTTTGAAGCACAGCAATGAACCACAAAAGCATAAGAATAGACCATGGAAGGCAAAATTTTGTTCTGCCCTAAATTGAAGCAATGCTTCATGGTGGATAATCTTTGAGTCATGAACCATAGAGCTGTGTTTCTCAACCTTGACCATTTTAAGGCATGTGGACTTCAACTCCCAGAATTCCACAGCCAGCAATGCTGGCTGTGGAATTCTGGGAGTTGAAGTCCACATGCCTTAAAATGGTCAAGGTTGAGAAACACTGCCATAGAGGATTTTGAAGAATGATTCTAGGTAGCTAGGCACTTTCATGGTCAAGAAGGAACGTGACTATCTATCTATCTATCTATCTATCTATCTATCTATCTATCTATCTATCTATCTATCTATCTATCTATCATCTATCTATCTATCTATCTATCTATCTATCTATCTATCTATCTATCTATCTATCTATCTATCTATCTATCTATCTATCTATCTATCATCTATCTAATTCCTAGGTGTTTTTTTTAAAGTACCTTAAAGCAATTTAAGGCATGTAAACTAAACCCAAAACTAATATAAATTATTCTAATCCCGGTCCAGAAATCAGAATTACAGAGGCGCTAGAAGTTGGGAAAGAAGGATCTGCAGGCTATATGGAATTCAAGCTTAGAATCTTGTGACGTGCATAAAACCATTATTGGTTCAAATCATCAAGCCTTCAAGGTACATAGTGAAGATACTGTAGCACAGGATCCAAACCTATATATATGTATAAAATCAAAGCCATTACATTTGATCTCAGCAATACACACTATTCTCATGAGAATACAGAACTTCAAGGATCAGTAAAATGTATGAAACAGCCACCTGCTAAAGTTTTATCTCCTAGCTATGGCACAATATGCATTGGGTCTATTTTCCAAACTGAAGCAGACAGTTGTACTGAAGATATACTATAAAATATATAGAAATAAATGTGTTCTGCTTCCCCCCTCCAATGCAATCCTTTCTGTCCACCGGGGGAAGAACGAGAGCATACATTGTAGAAAAGTGAGAGATACTTTACTTGAGATAGGAATTGGAAGTACACTGATGAAATTCTGATCATAAGTCTTAAGTGTATAAAATATTCTGCATTTAACAATAACTTTGTACTTGAAGCCAGAAGCCAATCACATAAAGCCTATGGGTCAGATTCAATTTTAGATTGGGTTCAAATAACCCATGTTTTGTTTTAAATAGTTTACTGAAACTAAGCCTACCGAGGCTTGTCATAACAGCAAATCCAGTTCTATCATGTCTAGGTGAGAACCACTGAAGTCAGAAAGACTAATGACAGCAAACTGAAGATCCTTTAATTTGAGGTTGATTTAGAGTTGAGCCATTTTCATAGTCCCCTTTACATGCATGATTTTTATGCTTATTGCTTATCTGTTTCCTCATCTGTTTTCGCAATTATAAAAAATGAAATAATTCATGCATATGTGCAGGACCAATTAGTGCAATTGCCCAAATATTTTCAGGAATCAAGCTTAAATAGCAGTCACACATAAAGCCTCTCTTTATGTCTATATGTTTTTTTTTTGTTTCTGCTTCTGAAATTATCTGAAATTAAATTTAAATTTAACGTGAAATTTCATGTCCTATAATCCCACTCAGCCACGTCCATCAAAGAACTGAAATTCAATCCATAGAGTTATGACAGATTCAATACTTTTGTCTGTTTTGACTATTTGCTCAATTTCAGAAGGACTCTCCCTCTACTTTTTATCTTCTCTAATATATGCCTAACTATTGAGGCATACATTGAAATTGAGAATTTATGAAGAATTAGGACTACTGCCACCATAAGGACATCCTTTTAATTTTTTTTTTTAAATTTAGGCATGGACCTCAGTATCCATACAGTAAATAAGCTACTATTTCAGTCTATTTTCTATTTCCTGAAAGTGATTTTGTGGTTGTGAGTGGGGGGGGGGAGGGAGAATCCGCTTTACCACTTTGCACAATAATTTTTACTAAGGATTTAACTCAGAACAATCCACCCCTGTGACTACATGATCCTACACTCTATCTGATGAATGGTGCCATCAATATGTGGAAGATAAAGTTAAATACCACTGCAAGTAGCATCTTCAACATCCTAAGATGGTTGTTTCTAATCATGCCCTTCTCTTGGTGAAATGTACTTTGATTCCTTTAGAGGTATTTCATTTAACACAGTTCCATCTCAACAACTTGCTTGCCATTCTGTCTTGCCAGACATGAAAAATTATTGAGCGAAAATTAGAAAGCCTCATGCTTCAGACACAAAGACAGCCTGCTAGAGACATCTTGTATTTTTTTTTTTTTTAAAAAGAAAAATATTAAAGGATTTAAAAAAGCATAGGATTGCCACCATGCCTTCTAGCTTCATAAGTATGATTATGTGCCACTCAACTGGCAGGATTCTCACAACTGCTTCCAGTACTGGCTTGTGCGAGGGATTCCGGCTACAATCTCAGACTCAATTCCACAGTGATCTTGCCCACGGAGGATTCGGAAGAGACCTAGAAAATATTGAGAGAAAAATCTTGCAAAAAATTCTCAAGGCTAAATAAAATGAAACAAAACCAGGCCAACCGGCTTGTCTGTATTTATTTTTTGTGTGTACATATATTCCTTGAGTGACAACAGTTCACTTAGCAATGGCTCAAAATTACGACCCACCCCCGCAAAAAATACTTATGACCCGGTCCCAAAGTTACATACTTTGCACCACCCCAGTGGTCATTCTCCCTTATGACCGACCACAGAGATGTTGCAAATGGACCCTACTTATTCCCCCCCCCATCCTCCCTCCCTCCTCCACAGGCCCTGGCCCTGCTTTGTTAGTCCTCCGGATTACCCACCTCCCCACCCTGTTTCCAATCACTCACTTACCTTTTGAAGATCTCCAGAGTTCCAGAACAGGCTGACCCACATGGCAGAAAAGTAGCCGCTTTTTATTCAGGCGCTGGTGAAGCTCTAAGCGCGAGATCCAAGGAAAACAGCTTCCCCAGCACCTAAGTAAAAGATGGCTGCTTTTCTACCACAAAGGCCAGTATGCCTGTAGGCCTCATTTGATTCCTGACTTGCAGTTGGCAGATTTCAGCCCAATGAGATAAATGAAACAAGTTCCACACTGATTGGTTGCCGCTGCTGCCTTCACACCTCAATCCCCCAAACTACTCATTCAAACCAACCCCCAGCAGCAAGCAGAAGACGCTCGTGGCACTGCCCAGGCTGGCACCAAATGAGGCCTGCGGGGATGCTGACCTCATGATAGAAAAGCATCTGTCTTTTACTCAGATGCTGGGGAAACGGTTTTCCTTGGATCTCGCATTCTTACAGCTTCAGCCTCTGAGTAAAAGACATTTTTCTGCCATGTGGATCAGCCTGTTCTGACACTCTGGAGATCTTCGAAAGATGAGCGATTGGAAACGATGGGGAGGAGCAAGTGTAATCTGGGGGGCTAGCAAAGCAGGCCCAGTGCCTGTGGAGATCTGGCAGGGGAGGATGGGGGGGGGAAAGCAACCATGGGAACCCCAAGGGATTGTAAGCTGAGCATGAGATATCTCAGTGGGTAGAGGGAGGCCTTGAGTGATCAGAAGTAGGTGGCCTGTTCCAGCACTAGGCCCCTCCATGGTCTTCCCCCACCCTTAGATACTTCATGTGCACTTAACGAACTGTGCATTCAATTAACAAATGCATTGGGGAAAGCAGGGAGGAATCACGTTCATTTAATGTGATCCTCGGGTTACTAATGTAATTGGCAGGCTCTATTATATTCGTAACTTGAGGATTATTTGTACTGATATGCATAACAACATGATGGCTCAGGTCACATGTTAACTGAAAAGGAGCATGTTAGATCTCCAGATGTTGCTCAGTCACAGCTCCTGGGAGTTCTACAGCAAAGGCATCCCTGAAAGAGAATTGATCCACCAAAGGAAGAGAGATCACCTACCATTTTCACCCCAGTCTGTGTTCCAAGAATTAGCTATCAACCAGTAAGGTGTATCACTGTAGATGCCCCAGCCAAGAATTCGGACTGCATGGCCACCAACTGATTCACCAGAGACGTGCTGATAGACACCTGCAGGGGAAAAACTGTTACACTATTCCCAAATATAAATGCTATGATTTCCCTGCTAAGATCACTACTCAGTTAACAATTCTGCTTGGAATTTAAACTTGTAAGAAACCATAGATATAAATGGCTTGCGAGAGCCTTTTGCTTTGAATTCCAACTTTCACATTTCAGACTCAGCAACCTGTGAGGTGCAGCTCAAATATATATATATTTCAAGTGCAGAATGGGCTACTTCAAAATGGAGCCAATTTAATCTTGAAAAATTCAGGAATTGTTAATTCTGTTCAGAATTCAAAATAATTGGTTTTCATTTCATTCCATATTCCTAGCTTTTACACAGTGATAGGAATATCATGCACATGAGTCAAGAAGGTCATGCAGCTGCTAAGAAGGCAAATGCTGCTTGGGGATGTACAGGTAATCCTCAACTTATGACCACAATTGAGCCCAAAATTGCTAAGTGAAACAGTTGTTAAGTGATTTTTGCCCCATTTTCCAACCTTTCTTGCCACAGTTGTTAAGTGAATCACTGTGGCTGTTAAATTAGTAACACAGCTGTTAAGTGAATCTGGCTTCCCCANACCTAGGGTGAGTTTTAAATAGGGACAATTTTTAACGATTTTAAAGAGCCACAGCTACCAATATTTGGGTTTTAATTGGTTTTTAGTAGGGGAAATTTTTTGTATGATGTTTTAATATGCTGTGAGCCGCCCTGAGTCCCATGGGGAGAAGGGCGGCATATAAATCCTGTTAAATAAATAAATAAATAAATAAATAAATTTCATTTATTCAAAAATATTTCATTCTGCAGTTCCCTGCTATGAACCACTAATTTAGATAACGGCTCATCCTGCTTTTCCCTTGGAAGTTCCATTTATATCACCCATTTTATCCTCACAGTAACCTTTTGAGATCAAATATATTGCTAGAACTGGTGACCTGCCCAAAGTCACTTGTGAGTACCGTGGTTGATTGGGAACTTGAACCAGGCTCACTGCATTCACTCCAAAATCTGAACTAGCATGCAGGTAGTCCTCAATTTATGACTAACTGAGCCTGGCAACTATAGTTATAAGTCATGACAGTTGTAAGTGAGTCATCATGTGACTGACCCAATTTTATGACCTTTTTGTGGCACCCATAAATTGAATATAATGGCTGTAAAGTGAACACATTGTTCACCATGGCCTGGGTTTGCTGGAAACCAGAAGTAAATGCCAGTTTCTGGCAGAACCATTGTAAATAACAGTCACATGACCATGAGGTGCTGCAAACTGCTATACATAGGGGCTGATTGCTGAATGCCCAAAATATGGTCATGTGCGGGAGAGAAGGAAATGTCAGGACTTCAAAATCTGGTCATAACTAGCTGTAGAGGGGTCCATTGTCACCATTCAATGCTGGTCACAGGCATTTTGCTCAGAAGAAAACTCACCAACATGTGAGTCATAAAGGCCACCAGACACTAAGCCCTTTTCAGTCCAGTAGCTCCAGGCTCCTGCAGGGTATCCTCCATTACAACTGCAAGAAAATGATGCACAACTATCACAAAAGAACTCCTTAGGACACGGGCTGGCAACCCGCAGCTCTGGAGCCACATGTGGCTCTTTGACCCTTCTCTTGCGGCTCCCAGCCTCCTCCGCCATTTGCAGAGAGAGAGAGACAGAGACAGAAAGAGACACTTGCGTTTTCCTTCTCTCTGTCTCTCTCTCTGTGTGTAAAAAAGACAGTGGCCTCACGCTGTTCTCGAACAAGCTGACAAGCTTATTGGGCAGGGCTCCTGCCTTTGCTGCATCTCAGGAGGAAGCAGCAGAAATCAGAAAGCAACAGCTCTCTCTCTCTCTCTCTCACACACACACACACACTCTCTCTCTCTCTCTCACACACACACACACACACACTGAGTGGGGGAAGAGGACTGGCAGACCAAGGGCAGGAGAAAGCCAGCCAATAAGAATGTGTGTCAGCTTGTCGGAGAACAGCATGAAGCCAGCTTGCCAGGTGAGCAGAAGATCGGAGGGAGGGAGGGAGGGAGAGAGAGAGAGAGAGAGAGAGAGAGAACCCATGCACAGCAGCCTCTATTTCTTTTTAATTAAACTTTTCAATCAATTCTCCCCCCCTCGCATGCGCAGGTTTTGCGGCTCCCAGTGTTTTCTTTTCTCTGGGAAACGGGTCCAAGTGGTCCTTTGAGTATTTAAGATTGCCGACCCCTGCCTTAGGGGAAATGCATTTTAACTGGGGGTAGTCTGAAAGGTTGAAGAGTCTTTGGAGTGATGTGATACCCAAAGAGGTACTTAATAGAGATGGGAAAGGCAACTTCTCCAAAATGTTGGCAACACACTGGAATTTAAAAACTGGCTTCCATGAGGTGACATAGCAGACATGGCCCATTCACAAAATACCTATTTACCATGAAGTAAATAGTGAAGCTGCTCTCATCTCTAGTTGCCCCCTCTTTTTTTCTACACCGATTTCTCCATACAGCACTATACAGCAGGCACCCGCTTTTAAAATTTTCTATAGGGCCTGGAAGCATTCTGAAAATAAAAATAATGCTAAAAGCTAAAACTAGAAGGCAAAACAGCTTTCTGCAATGTTTTTAGTTAAATGATTTTTTTAAAGGAAATAGGGAAGAAATTTGACAGGCACCAAGTAAAGTGTTTACTGTGATCCTTGGGCTCATGGTATCATGCAGCCTCAAAACAAAAAAATATTCTTTCAAGTTGACCTTGACGCCTGATTACTTTGTGTAGTCTTCTTGTTGTCTACTATGAAGTAGAAAACAAACTGTATTGGGAATAGAATGATCTGAAAAATATTGTTATTGTTGTTAATTGTGAAGTCGTGTCCGACCCATCGCGACCCCATGGACAACGTTCCTCCAGGTCTTCCTGTCCTCTACCATCTTCTGGAGTCCATTTAAGTTCACGCCTACTGCTTCAGTGACTCCATCCAGCCACCTCATTCTCTGTCGTCCCCTTCTTCTATTGCCCTCAATCTTTCCCACCATTAGGCCCTTCTCAGTGAGTCCTTCCTTCTCATTAGGTGGCCAAAGTATTTGAGTTTCAACTTCAGGATCTGGCCTTCTAAAGAGCAATCGGGGTTGATCTCTTCTAAAACTGATTGGTTTGAACGCCTTGCAGTCCAAGGGACTCGCAGGAGTCTTCTCCAGCACCATAGTTCAAAGGCCTCAATTCTTTGTTGCTCAGCCTTTCTTATGGTCCAACTTTCACATCCATACATTGCAACTGGGAAAACCATGGCCTTGACTATACACACTTTTGTTGGCAGGGTGATGTCTCTGCTTTTTAGTATGCTGTCTAGNCTGCTAAGAAGGCAAATGCTGCTTGGGGATGTACAGGTAATCCTCAACTTATGACCACAATTGAGCCCAAAATTGCTAAGTGAAACAGTTGTTAAGTGATTTTTGCCCCATTTTCCAACCTTTCTTGCCACAGTTGTTAAGTGAATCACTGTGGCTGTTAAATTAGTAACACAGCTGTTAAGTGAATCTGGCTTCCCCAATGACTTTGCTTGTCAGAAGGTCACAAAAAGTGATCACATGACCCTGGGACACAGCAACCGTCATAAATATGAATTAGTTGCCAAGTGTATGTATTTTGATCACATGACCATGGGAATGCTGCAATGGTCACAAGTGTGAAAAATAGTCATAAGCAGTGGTGTGGTTCAGTCAGTTCGCACCAGTTCGGCAGAACCGGTAGCTAAATTTTGTTGAGTTCGGAGAACCGGCTGAATGCACACTCCTTCCAGAAGTCCATTCTAGGCTTCGGAGGCCTGGAGGAGGCCTCCCAGGCCAAGAAGGACCCACTGGAAGTGTGCGGATGCTACTTCCAGAAGTCTGTTCTAGGCCTTGGAGGCCCAGGCCTGCATCCATGCAGAGAACCGGTTGTTCTGGTATTTGAATTTCACCACTGGTCATAAGTCACTTTTTCAATGCCGTTCTAACTTTGAACAGTCACTAAATGAACTGTTGTAAGTTGAGGACTACCTGTACTTTGCCTTGACCAGGCCCCACCTACAAAGTGACTTATGACTGGTCTTTGCACCTACGGCCAGTTGGAGCAACCTTGCAGTCACATGATCAAAATTCAGGCACTTTGAAACTGGCACGCATTTACAACAATTGCAGGTCTCACAGGATTGCCATTTGCAACCTTCCCCAGCTGGCTTCTGACAAGCAAAGTCAATGGGAAACCGGATTCATTTAAGAAGTGCATGATTCACCTAACTGTAATGATTTGCTTAATAACCGCTGTGCAAATAGTCATAAAAGTTCCAGTCCCGATTATGGTTGTAAATTGAGGAATGTCTGTATTGTTCTTTATTGAAGGTCCTCAAACAGAAGCTGAACAGTCATCTGTCCAATAGTCCTAGCATAACTTGTTCCAAATTACTGGATTAATTAATCTCCCAGATTCCTTCCAACTCTAGAATGCTAGGAAGGGGAAAATGTGAATTCAAGAAATACCTACTAGAGATAAACCTAACAAATTCTGAGGAGGTGATCTAAGAAAACCTTAAGAAAAGTAAGCTGGGCTTCATTCATCAATGACACAATGTTGCTGATATTTCCATTGTGTGTGTGTGTGTGTGTGTGTGTGTACACACACACACAATTGTGTTTTCCCAAATCCCACTCTGAATGCCAACTTCGGGAATACTTGAGATCTCAAGCTTTAAGCCTTGCAAACATAAGCTAAATTCAAGCAACTTTTTTATACCCAAAACCTTCCGAATACCACATTTAATCAGAAGCAATGCCAGTTCTATCAGAAGATTAAACCAAAATCATTGTAATTGAAATAAAGAAAATTACAACTGTACAAATTACAACTGTAATTCAAGAGTTTTAAAAAATGAAAATTGCTCTTTTTAAAAAATATGTCTACTTTAAGAAGTTACATAAAAAACACTTACCTGATTTGTACATGAGAAAATCAGAATAAACAGTAAAGGCTGCCTCCACTGGTCCGTTTTTGTAAATCTCAGCCATTATTTCTTTCTCACTGCCAGGGACACTATACGAAGTCATTCCTGGCCAGGGAAAGGGGAAAGTGATCTCTATATTAGAAAGCATTTGAATCGCTTACTTCAAACTTGATGAGTTTTCAAAACTGATGCTAATCGTCATTCAATGAATCAGAGAAGAACACATTTAAAATAAACATCAATTTATAACAAGAATATAAACTGTCTGATTTACTTTAGTTAATTTTTTTTATGTGAAGTGATATCTAAGTTGTCTGAAAGTCAACAGCCACTTAAGAAACCCTGGTTTACAAATTTTGGCAGTGCAGTATATGAATCCAGCCTGTACAGCACATTATACTTTTTATACTACAGCTGATTTTTGTAGCTGTATTGATTTGTAGTTTAATTATTAAATTTATATACCACCCATCTCTGCTACACCATCCTAGAGTGGCAATAGGGAATCTTTAACTTAATTATAAAATTTTAATTATAAACCGATAGAGTCCTGAACCATGGTTTCACAGCTTTCAGCCTAATCAATATCCACCAAAGCCTTGAGTACATACCTGGACAGAGAGCTTCAAAAAGTTGCAGATTTGTAAAAGTGTGAAAGAAGGGGAAATTACTAAGTACCTGGGGGGGTACTTAAAATAAAAATGTACAAATAATTTTATTTTCTAAGTGTACAAAAGTACAAATAATGTTACCCTTGCCTACTTATGCTGTTGAAAGGCGAAATGCAACACTTGGCTTGAAAAGGGGCCTCCATCCTGGCTGCAGACTTTACCCAGAATATCCATATGCAAGGCCATGTGCAAAGCTTTGCCTCTACTCCCCCCAATAGGAGCCACTTTGTTTCCTCTTATAAAAAATAATATGTGGCTGCATATGTGACCAACCATAATAGCAATTCATACTGATCTTATTGTTTTCTATTTTTTAATTTATATTTCTAACCTTTTACTGCATCGGGAAGTCTATTGTATCTAAAACAGAATATTAAATTTTTATCATTTAAACATTTTGAACTTAAAGCTTGCAGGTTTCTTATAAACCTGAACTTGCAGTTTAATATATGCATTACCATAATGTTTGTCATTTTGGTATGAAGGAAAGTAACCAGCTTCACATTTTTTGATGCATTCAGGGGTGTCACCACCTTCTCCAGTGCATGGAGGGCGAGTCCCATTGACGTGATGCTCACAGGGTGGAATAGAGTATGGCCTACATCCTATTGGATACAATACAGAATAAAACACCATTTGAAAATAATCTTTTAAGGGACAGGTGGCTAAAGTCCCTATTCTAAGCTCAAATCAAAGTAAATCATGCTAAACTACAGAATTTCATTTATTCAAAAATATTTCATTCTGCAGTTCCCTGCTATGAACCACTAATTTAGATAACGGCTCATCCTGCTTTTCCCTTGGAAGTTCCATTTATATCACCCATTTTATCCTCACAGTAACCTTTTGAGATCAAATATATTGCTAGAACTGGTGACCTGCCCAAAGTCACTTGTGAGTACCGTGGTTGATTGGGAACTTGAACCAGGCTCTCTGCATTCACTCCAAAATCTGAACTAGCATGCAGGTAGTCCTCAATTTATGACTAACTGAGCCTGGCAACTATAGTTATAAGTCATGACAGTTGTAAGTGAGTCATCATGTGACTGACCCAATTTTATGACCTTTTTGTGGCACCCATAAATTGAATATAATGGCTGTAAAGCGAACACATTGTTCACCATGGCCTGGGTTTGCTGGAAACCAGAAGTAAATGCCAGTTTCTGGCAGAACCGCTATAAATAACAGTCACATGACCATGAGGTGCTGCAAACTGCTGTACATAGGGGCTGATTGCTGAATGCCCAAAATATGGTCATGTGCGGGAGAGAAGGAAATGTCAGGACTTCAAAATCTGGTCATAACTAGCTGTAGAGGGGTCCATTGTCACCATTCAATGCTTGTCACAGGCATTTTGCTCAGAAGAAAACTCACCAACATGTGAGTCGTAAAGGCCACCAGACACTAAGCCCTTTTCAGTCCAGTAGCTCCAGGCTCCTGCAGGGTATCCTCCATTACAACTGCAAGAAAATGATGCACAACTATCACAAAAGAACTCCTTAGGACACGGGCTGGCAACCCGCAGCTCTGGAGCCACATGTGGCTCTTTGACCCTTCTCTTGCGGCTCCCAGCCTCCTCTGCCATTTGCAGAGAGAGAGAGACAGAGACAGAAAGAGACACTTGCGCTTTCCTTCTCTCTGTCTGTGTGTGTGTGTGTAAAAAAGACAGTGGCCTCATGCTGTTCTCGGACAAGCTGACAAGCTTATTGGGCAGGACTCCTGCCTTTGCTGCGTCTCAGCAGGAAGCAGCAGAAATCAGAAAGCAACAGCGCTCGCTCTCTCTCTCACACTCTCTCTCTCTCTCTCTCTCTCTCTCTCTCTCTCTCTCACACACACACACACACACTGAGTGGGGGAAGAGGACTGGCAGACCAAGGGCAGGAGAAAGCCAGCCAATAAGAATGTGTGTCAGCTTGTCGGAGAACAGCATGAAGCCAGCTTGCCAGGTGAGCAGAAGATCGGAGGGAGGGAGGGAGGGAGGTAGGGAGGGAGAGAGAGAGAGAGAGAGAGAGAGAGAGAGAGAGAGAGAGAGAGAGAGAGACCATGCACAGCAGCCTCTATTTCTTTTTAATTAAACTTTTCAATCAATTCTCCCCCCCTCGCACGCGCAGGTTTTGCGGCTCCCAGTTTTCTTTTCTCTGGGAAACGGGTCCAAGTGGTCCTTTGAGTATTTAAGATTGCCGACCCCTGCCTTAGGGGAAATGGATTTTAACTGGGGGTAGTCTGAAAGGTTGAAGAGTCTTTGGAGTGATGTGATACCCAAAGAGGTACTTAATAGAGATGGGAAAGGCAACTTCTCCAAAATGTTGGCAACACACTGGAATTTAAAAACTGGCTTCCATGAGGTGACATAGCAGACATGGCCCATTCACAAAATATCTATTTACCATGAAGTAAATAGTGAAGCTGCTCTCATCTCTAGTTGCCCCCTCTTTTTTTCTACACCGATTTCTCCATACAGCACTATACAGCAGGCACCCACTTTTAAAATTTTCTATAGGGCCTGGAAGCATTCTGAAAATAAAAATAATGCTAAAAGCTAAAACTAGAAGGCAAAACAGCTTTCTGCAATGTTTTTAATTAAATGATTTTTTTTAAAGGAAATAGGGAAGAAATTTGACAGGCACCAAGTAAAGTGTTTACTGTGATCCTCGGGCTCATGGTATCATGCAGCCTCAAAACAAAAAAATATTCTTTCAAGTTGACCTTGACGCCTGATTACTTTGTGTAATCTTCTTGTTGTCTACTATGAAGTAGAAAACAAACTGTATTGGGAATAGAATGATCTGAAAAATATTGTTATTGTTGTTAATTGTGAAGTCGTGTCCGACCCATCGCGACCCCATGGACAACGTTCCTCCAGGTCTTCCTGTCCTCTACCATCTTCTGGAGTCCATTTAAGTTCACGCCTACTGCTTCAGTGACTCCATCCAGCCACCTCATTCTCTGTCGTCCCCTTCTTCTATTGCCCTCAATCTTTCCCACCATTAGGCCCTTCTCCAGTGAGTCCTTCCTTCTCATTAGGTGGCCAAAGTATTTGAGTTTCAACTTCAGGATCTGGCCTTCTAAAGAGCAATCGGGGTTGATCTCTTCTAAAACTGATTGGTTTGAACGCCTTGCAGTCCAAGGGACTCGCAGGAGTCTTCTCCAGCACCATAGTTCAAAGGCCTCAATTCTTTGTTGCTCAGCCTTTCTTATGGTCCAACTTTCACATCCATACATTGCAACTGGGAAAACCATGGCCTTGACTATACACACTTTTGTTGGCAGGGTGATGTCTCTACTTTTTAGTATGTTGTCTAGATTTGCCATAGCTTTCCTCGCCAGGAGCAAGCGTCTTTTAATTTCTTGGCTGCAGTCCCCATCTGAGGTGATGTTGGAGCCCAGGAAAATAAAATCTGTCACTACCTCCCCTTTTAATCTTAGACCACACAGTTCCAACCATTCTGGAGCGGTCTGAGGGCTTGCTAGAACTCAATCTTCCAGAACAAAGCCTTCTGAACTCAACATATGTGGGTGTTCTCCCTGAACTTTCCAGTGTCATTCCTAAACATATGAACAGAAAAAACAAGTGACAAGGTAGGAAGTGACTTACCCCATTCCACATTCAAATCCGCAGCAAGAGAGCAGATCTTCAGCAGAAATTTCCACATTCACTTTGCCATTAGTATGGACACAAACACGATCCGACATGGCTTCAACTGCACCAAATGCCTACAAAAACAATCCAAAAGTTTGGTCAGTGGCACTCTTGAGACCTGTAGACTATCCTAATGCCCTGTCCGACTACCACCAAGCAAAAAATATATATTAGTCTCTTTTTCTCACTGAAAGCTCTTCTGGACTTTCTTTGGGCACATGTACACTGATGTTTCTTAATGGATAGGTGGTTCCAATACAAATTGAGTCATAGGGTTGTGTAAGAATTCACATATACACTGATTGTGTTAAGAGATGTTTCTCTTAACTGTAATTTAAGAGTATGCCACTACAACTGAGTTCACACCATGCATAAATTAGTGCCATGCATGAATTTAGCTAATATGCATTTTTTCAAGCATCAGATGCTTCTATTAAAAAGCTGGAGAACTGGATATGAACTACTAGATCTGCTGAATTCTGGCCTGTGGCAATTTCTTCTTGGATCAATTTCTAGACTTAGGAAAGGAACTTACCCAGCAGGAACCACAAGAGCCTTGGTCTCTGATTTCACTTATGGTTGGGCAGTTTGGCCATTGTTGCCTTGAATCGAAGCTTTTTGGCAAGACCAAATCACCAGCAAATTCAAACCTTTCAAACAATATGGAAGAAGTTGGGTGAAAAAGAGACAGAATCATGCTCTAATTAACTAAGGTCTTTTTCAACCAAAATCCTTGGATTTAATAATCTCTTTATGTCAGACCTTCAATTTTGCTTCCAGCATGTTGACAAAATACTAGCATACATATGATTCAGAGTTGACACTGTATATAAAAGGGATCTATTTAATAACTTCAAAGTTTACTCCTCATGAATGTATTAGTAATATTTTGATCTGGAACTACATCTGTCCAGATTAATTCATTCCACTAAAAAGCAAGACTATCAACAAATCATTGTTGTAGATTTCAAGACAGCCACCCAAATTTTGAAAAGGATGGCTGTATATAAATGCCAACTACATTTTTTTTAATGTGAGGCATCCTGTTTTCTTGCTCTATTATTTTTTAAAAATAAAATCATAGGAAAGCTGTCTAATATCAACTCACACTGCTGGATCAAATTTTTAAAGACAGTCTGGATAAGTCCCTGCACTTTTCTTGGCAATATTTCTCAGAAGTGATTTGTCATTGCCTCCTTTCTAGGGCTGAGAGTGACTGGCACAAGGTCATCCACTGGCTTTGTGCCTAAAGTGGGAGTAGAACTCAAAGTCTCCTAGTTTCTAGTGAGATGCTTTAACAACTACACCAACAACTACACCATTTACCTTAATCTTTAAATATAAAAGTAATAACAACAGTTCAGAATTTCAGCAGTGGTGTTTCCCAGTCCCGTCAGGCTATTAAACTAACACTTTCTCCATAAAAAAACAGTTGTTATATTGTTAAAATAAGACTTTTCTTTTATATCCAATAGCAACTTTAATACAGCTGTAACCAGGAAGCCATTCCTGAGAGTAGAAAGCAAGATAGCCATTATCTGAAGAGTCCAAAAGTTCAAGAACACATATGCAGCAGGATTAGAAATAGAACACATATATATCCCACCTTTCTGGCAATTTGGGGCCATGCAAGAAAGTGCCACACAAAGTCTTCACGTAACTCATATCAGCATTGGCAAAGTTGTGTCCAGCCTTTAAAAAAAGTAAAAATAACAATAACACATATTATAATCTAGACCTTTCACCCCAACCACAACTATTGCTTACTAATTAAACACATAATTAAACACATTTGTACAAATGAACTCACGATCCCACAATCTGCACACTCACACTATTTCTTTATGGCAGGCAGAGATAAAATATATGTTTGATAAAATACTGTCTTTAGTAAATGCTGCCTTTACTTGGATGAAAGACTAGATTCTCTCTTCCTGCCACTGCTAACAATTTACTTTTAAGGCAGAACAGTTTTTTTTAATCCTGCCTTTATGATTTTTATAAATAACTCAGGGCAGTAAACATACTTAATACACCTTTCTCCTCCTACACCTTAATATATTCAGAGCCCTAGGCTCAGGTATATAGTCAAGTTTTTTAAAGCAGGCATATCCAACCTTGGCAGCTTTAAGACTTGTGGACATGGCTGCCTGGGGAATTTTAGGAGTTGAAGTATACATAATAATAATAATAATAATAATAGTAAAGTTGGAAGGGACCTTGAAGGTCATCTAGTCCAACCCCCTGCTCAGGCAGGAAACCCTATACCATTTCGGACAAATGGCTGTCCAGTCTCTTCTTAAAAACTTCCAGTGTTGGAGCATTCACCGCTTCTGGAGGCAGGTTGTTCCACTGGTTAATTGTTCTCACTGTCAGG